ACACACACACACACACACACACACACACACTGACATTATTCCAGACTTTGGGACTGAAAAGTTAAAGAGGAGAGTACGTGATTCACAGCAGCAGTGGTGAGCCCGGCTAACAGAAATGTGTTTATTTCCCACCTACTTACATGTTTTACATGCTACCCCTATAATGATGAGGGCAAGATTACTTACTCCAGAGTTAGGAATAACATCCACAGATAAAGTTTACAGCATAAATGTCATGTCTTTCCCTCACACACATACTGGCTCATAAAACTAGCAACTTACTTTATTAAATATATATTTGATATGCCATGGTGTGTGAGTCTCAGCAGAAATACAGACAAGACAGCTGTTTCATCCCAGAGGCTTGTGTGACCATTTCTTTATTTCAGGGTTTTCCCCCTCAACAATTTCAAATTAATAAGACAGACAAGAAATGATTTTTAATGTGTCAAGCTTGAAAGTCTACTGTATGCCTGGGTATATTTAAAGTGCTTTCTTCAACACCCACTTCCCCTTCTCTCTGCCCCCCTTCACCCCGCTCAGCAAATGTGCGGAAACTGATACTCACTTTCCAGGTTTTCCGCAAAGCTTGTAGCACGGGAGACAATAGGTGCAGGGTGTAGGGAACTGGGCGTGCTGGGCGGCGGAGAAAGGGTTAATGGCCCTTGTGTTACAGTTTGCATCTGTTACATCTTTTATAGCCCTCTGTTTAAACTAATCCTCGAAGCACAGCATCTTCCCACCCCGCGGAGTTTCAGGGTTCTCCTCTTCTCCGGCCTGCCTCCGAGGTTCCCCTTCTCCAAGTTTTGACAGTTTCAGCTGGGAGGAAAAAAAAAATGCAGCGCCTCCCTCGATTTTTAGGTACAAAAGTTTCGAAGCCAAAAAGGATACGATCATTTAGAACAACTTAAAAGTGTTGCCATAGTGGCTACGGACTTTCTCTTTCCTTTCTTGAGAGAGAGAGAAAAAAAATCTACTGAAAGAATTTAAGGAAATCAGTGTGGGGGAACATGTGAGGGGGGGCGACTTAAGTAAATATTGTCCAAGTGGTGGGGTTGGGGGAGGAACAATGTCCAGAGAGCCTTATAATTATATTTCTTTTACCGGGTAAAATGGGAAATCTTAATTTGGGGGCGGAGGGTGTAGGGGGAAAGAGACAGTGCCTCGATAACTCCTAAGGGGAGGGGAGGGGTCGCGGGGCGAGTGGGCTTCCTGTAATTACTATTATCAATTTACCCGAGTGTGCTTCATCCAAGGGCTGTTTTGCGTTGTTTGTTACTTTTTTTCCCTCTTGGGAATGGGGGGTCGGAGGAGGGATGAGAAAAGATGAGAGCGAAA